TTTTTCCCCCATATGATAGAAACAAAAGTAGTCTTTGAAATATTAGTCAGGAAAATTAGTTCAAATCCAGCTTCAGACATTTACTCGCTACGTGACCCTGGGGCAAGACACTTAAATCTCCGTTTGCCTCAGTTTCTTCATCTGTAAAATTGGGATAATAATAGCACCTACCTCCTAGGGTTGTTGTGAGGAGTCAATGAGATAATAATTAAAAAGGCTTAATACCATACCTGGGGCATAGTAAGTGCTATATAAATGTTATCTGTTATTATCACTCTTGTTATTGTTAAAATATTGAATAGGAACTCTAGCTGAGCTCAGATTTGAACAAGAAGAAAATACCAAGCTGGACAGCATTTGGAAAACTGGGTGTAGTTTTAACGGCCCCAGGTTGATCTTTGATATGCATACCCATCTTTTGAACATGGATTTTCTTCTACCCATGATCGTTAATTAAAACAGGAGAAATATTCCTTCCGTGGGCAAGCAGAACAAGTCTCGTTCCTCTTGCACGTAATGATGCTTCAAATACATAAGACAGCTATCAAACACCACCTCATCCTCAAAATCTTCTCCTCTCCAAATGAAATATCCCTGGTTCCTTCAACTGATACTTGTATGATGTGTCTAAAAACCCTTCAACATCCTTTATGCCCAGCTCTGAAGAAGTTCTAGTCTTCTCTAAAATGTGGGATACAGAATTTAATAGTCAGATATATAATACTTCACCCCTTTCTTGACACCATGCTTTTATTATAGCCTGAGATCACATTAAAATTTTCCTTCCTATTTTGTACTATGTGATATTACATTTTCAAGTTACTTAAACCCCCCAGATCATTTTCAGATGAACTGCTGTCTAGCTACAACACACCATCTTGTATTTGTGTAGGTTATTTTTAACACAAGGAAAGAGTTTTGTTTAAATGTATATCTCTTTGATTTCATCTTATTAGATCCAAATATTTCCATAGTAAGTCATAATTTTTGGATTCTGACTCTGTCATCCAGTGGATTAGTGTTCTCTCTCTCTCTCTCTCTCTCTCTCTCTCTCTCTCTCTCTCTGTCTCTGTGTGTGTCTTTGCATTATCTACAAATCTGGCAAGCATTCCATCTATGCCTTGGTTTTTTTTAAAGGGGAAAGAATATAGTTTCCAACAATATAGCATCACTTTGCCTCAGCAAAATTCCAGAATGGATTGTTAAGTAGGTAGTTTATAATCCCTAGAATTATATAGGGTCTTAGGACCAGCATAATAAACTAACCCAATTTCTGGTTTGTTTGTTTTTTTTGGATAATGTTATTGTACTGGTTATAATTCAAGGAAATACAATAGACACAGTATCTCTATTTCAGGAGGGCACATGAAAGACTAACAGGTATCCTTATTGAAACAGTAAAGAAATATAGGCTGTTATTTGTAGCTTTGCAGTGGGTTGAAAAACCTTAACAAAACATATTAACTAATGAATGGATGTTAGCCTAAAAGGCACTCTTCTAAGGGCAACCCCCAGAGCTTTGTCTTTGGTCTTGTTTGGTTCAATATCTTTGTCAAAGACAATGCCTTATCTATAGATGTGTCAATTAAATTGGAAAGAGTAATACTCTTGGTGAATAGAGACTAGAAAGTCCTAGAATTACTTTGAGCTTCAGTTTACTGATGATAATATTTATAGTACATGCCTAATTAAGTGGCAAATGCCTTTGAAAACTCTAAAATTGTACTTTTTTTAAAAAAAAAATGACTCCATAATAAAGGCCTTTTAAAAAAAATTAAGCAACAATCTAGATAAATTATATGGATACACCATAATGCAAAACTCTTCACATTTCATACCCCATTACAACAGGCTTCATCATTCCATTGATGTGGATATAGGGGAGTGTCAAATTATCCCCCTCCCAAACTGAAAACATTATGAGGCTGAATTAACACCTCTTGTACCAATGTTATAAAAGATTTTCCACTGTAGTATCCAAAGAATATTTGGAAGACTAGACAGCTTCTAAGACACCCTCCAGATCTGGGAGGAAGCTATATGGTATAGTGGCTCTATTGTGTGACTTAGGGCATGTCACTTGACCTCTCTTGGTCTCAGTTTCCTCATCTATAAAATGAGGGGGTTAGATTAGTTGATCTCTGAGATCTTTTCAGCTCTAGATCTAGTAACAAATAGAATATGAGTTTTCTACTATATATAAAAAATTTCTCTCATAGGAGGGGAAATCAGAAAATTTAGGGGGAGGAAACCTGCCAATCTGGAATTAAGGTTCACTTTGTATGCTAACATAATCTTCAGACAACTCAGCAGAGTTTCTCCACATTTATATGCTCATGTGAAAAGTGCCATAGGATACAGACAGATATACCTATAAGCCAGAGAACAGAGGAACCCTGGACAGAGTCTAAAGACCTGGGTTTGAATCTCAGCAAACACTCTGTGCCTTCATCTTCCTCTTCCTTTTCTAAATATTCTGCTTGTATATTTGTTGTTGTTTTTTTTTTCTGGATCTAATCTAGCAACGGTTATTATTTCGGCAGATTAGCAGAATATTGCAGTAGATAGAGAGAAGGTGCCGGAGTCGGCCACATGCTAGCTGTGGAATCAAGGGCAAGCTACAAGGCCTTTAAGGCCCCCCAGATAAGTCTGTAACACCACGAGTTACAGAGATTACTGATCTGCATTGATGAAGGAGTTTCCACACTGGGAGATCTGGACTAAAAAAACAATTACTTCGATATTTTAATTGATATATGATCTCATTGATAAAAACAGATCTAAATGATTAGTACACAAAGGATCTATGGGTGTTCCCTTCATCAAAGAAGATTATAATCCCTATATAATTAAATAGACATACCTAGGGAATTAGCTGTAGCACAAAGCGGAAAGCAGTTACAAGTAACCAGTCAGACAACTAAGTGTCAGAGGAATTATTTGGACCTAAGTCTTCTTGACCTAAAGGCCCAGCATTCTATCCAGTCTACAATAACACTACTTCAATTTTTACGAAGCAACCTTTGTGGATGACAGGAATCTTGGAAAAATCACTGAAATGTTGGCTAGAATCAGGATCCAAAAAAGATCAATAAACTCTCAATGGTGAGAACTGCCTCAGGATTGACAGGATTAAGGTGTACAAGTTGTGGCTGTTTAGTCTTGTCTGCCTCTTCATGACTCAATGGATGTCATGAATGGCCAGCACATCAATGGTGACCATAGGGTTTTCCTGACAGATACTGGAGTGGTTTCCCATTTCCTTCTCCAATGGATTAAGGCAAACAGAAATTAAGGGACTTGCCCAGAGTGTCTGAGGACAGATTTGAACTTGGATCTTTCTGACTCTAGGTTGGATGTTCTGTCCACTGTGACACCTAGTTGCCCTGATTATAACGTAACAGATGCCTTTCTAGCTTGATGGGAACTTTCCAGAGCTTCATTAACATAGCCTTCAAGAGCCTAGGGTCACCTGGGTATAAATATGTAAAGATCCAGTAAAGGAATCTTAGGCTATTAAGGGATTTTTTATCAAGTAAGGACACCCAGATTAAGGAAGATGATGGCCCCACCGTACTCTGCATGAGTTAGAACACATGTGGAATATTGTACCTACCACATTTTAGGAGAGACATTCATAGGATCATAGAGCTAGAATGGGAAAAGCCATCTAATCACACTTTACAGATGAGAAAACTGAGGCCTAACAAGCTTAAGTGACTTGCCCAAAGTCACAGGTAGTAATATTCACAAGTAGGCAATGATTACAACAATGTAAAGTCAAAGAACAACCACCACAAAACAGTTAAAAGTGAATGTGATAAAATTACCAAGAATTAGGCTAGCCGCAAAGAAGAGATGAGAAGATACTCCCACTACGTGGGTGTGGTACATTACATGTATTCAGACCTTTTCAATGTATTGACCAGTTTCACTGATTTTGTTTCCCTTTTTAAACTCATATGTGTTTGTGTGTATAATATATTTATATGTGTGTATATACATATACACACATAAACATATATATACATATGTACACACACACATATATATATATGTAAGATGGCTCTGGAAGAGGGAGAGACAGAAAGAAATTGTGGTGATTAATAATTCTGGATGTTAAAAAAAAGCTATCAATAAAAAATTACTTTTTAAAAACTATCAGAAGTGGACTTTGAACCTAGATCTTCTGACTCCAGAATCGTTGTATATATAATTTTACCTCCATAACTGGTTCCTGTCATGTAATCAACATAGTCAAGGCTCTCAAAACCATATTAACGAAAGAACAAGGGATGTTTAACCTGGGATTAGGGCAGAGTAAGCATGGTAACTGTTTTGAAATGTATATGTTGTGTTAGAAGGTAAAACTAAAAACAATGGTTGGAAGCTCTAGGTAGGTAACTTTCAGCTCAACAAGAAGATGAACTTGTATTCCAATTGAAGTGGGGGCAGGGAGGAGAGAGAGAAGAGAGCAGGAATATACCTCAATAGGCTGCTTTGATTTGAGGTTTTTAGCTTAGATAATCTATTAGGTTCTTACACCCTAAGATACTTGATCCTTATTTTCAAAGATCCTTGAATACATGAATAATTAACTTTGTATTCAGGGAAATGTTGCTATATGTTCTACTTGCAAGTAGTAGAGATATCATTAGAGCACATGAGAAACCCTCTACTACAACTCTGCTATCTCTTAAACCCTTCCTTGCACTCTGACTGCAAAAGCCAAAGTTAAGCTTAAAACATGGGGTCACTTCAGAATGACTGCATTAGTAACTGGTTTTACACAATATCCTTGCTTTGGTGCTAACTATACTCATGGTGCAGCACCGTAATCAGATCTATATCATTCCTCTATCTTCAACTGCATCATCCTAGGTCTCTGCTGCTTGTGCAGAGTCAATTTGGGATATGAGATAATATATGGGAAAAAAATCTTGCAAACCTTAAAGCTCTCCATAAATATTGTATACTAATAAAAATTTATACCTTGACAGATGGCAAAGTGGACCTGCTTGGTGTATTTGGTCATTGAAGTGCTGTTCTGGACAGTTTGGGGTGACCCAAATGGAACTAACAATCTGGACTGCAACTCTATGAACTCTTTTGATGAATCTTTTGTCCTCCCACACTCCTGGATACCTTATAACATCTCTGTTTCACAAAGGACTTTTAATCCACATGATGAAATCACAGGTAAACAACAAAGAGCTTTTGTTTGTTTCTGAAATGCACCTGGTATGGCAGAGAAAGAGCACTGAGTTTGGACTCAAAGCATCTGAGTTAAAATCCCAGTTCTGCTTCTTAACTACCTCTATAACGTTGGGCAAGTAACTTGCCTCCTGAGCCTCAACTTCCTATTCTAAAAAACGAAGTGACTGGGGCAGCTAGGTGGTGCAGTGAATAGAGCACCAGCCCTGGAGTCAGGAGGACCTGGAATTCAAATCCAGCCTCAGACACATAACACTTACTAGCTGTGTGACTTTGGGCAAGTCACTTAACCCCAATTGCCTCGCCAAAAAAAAAACGAGGTAACAAGACTAGATGATTTATAAGATTCCATTCAGCTGTAGGTCTGGGTCTATGAATCTTTTCTTTCAATGAAACACTTTAAAATAACTACTGTTTACACTTGTTATTTTGCTGTTCAGTCATGTCCATGACCCCATTTGGGGTTTTCTTGACAGAGATAGTGGAATGATTTGCCATTTCCTTCTCCAGGAAATTTTACAGTAAGGAAACTGAGGCAAACAGGATGAAGTGACTTGCCCAGGTCACACAGCTAGTAAGTGTCTGAGGCTAGATTTGAACTCACAAAAATGAATCTTCATGCCTCTTGTCCCAGCACTCCATCCACCGTGCCACCTAGCGGCCCTTAATTATATACTTGTTATGTAAAGATGTAATATACGCTTTTTTAAAAGACAGGGAGCATTTCCTTTATGCTGTAGCAAAATTATGCTAGACAAAGCAAAGCTAGGTCCTCATAATTTAACTGATTTATTTTTCTTTAGCAGCAGATATTCTAAAACATGTGTAAAACATGTAGCACAGTGGCTGCATGGGGCCCCAAACCAGATTAACATGTAATTGGGAAATATTTACCAAAGTAAATAAAAATACAATAAAACATAATCATATTATATTTTAAATCTAAGTCAACATGTGGCCTGCAGGGATCCTTCTGTATAGTTTAGTGGACCCTATTTCTATATGAGTTTGATAGCACTGCTCTAAAATACTGAAGCAGTTATGTCTTGAGTTTCTCTAGCTCTTCCATGAGTGTAACAAGCATTTCTAATTTTGAAAAATGTCTTTCTTCATAAATGTAACTCTGTAAGAAGAATCTCCAAGCTCTATTGGCTGTTATTTGTAGTTGTAGTTGTATTTTATACATATATAGACACACACACATACATACATACATATACATATATTACATATATGTATATGTATGTATGTATGTGTATGTATATGTATGTATATATGTATATAGTTATGACTGAGCAAGATAACAAACATTTATTAAGCAATTACTATGTGCCAGGCACTGTGCTAAACCTTGGGGATAGATAGAAACAAAAGACAGTTTTGCCTCTCAAAGATCTCCTGGGGGTAATACAACAGAAAAGGGCTCTGAAAAATGGGAGAGTGAAGGGTGCATGGTGTAAAAGTGTAGAATGTCACAAGCATAGCCAGAGGAAAATAAAAGTTGGCTAAGTGGTGGATGAATTGGAATAGAAAGAGTCTGGAAGCAGAGAGACCAATTCCAAAGCTATTCTACTAACCTAGGTGAGATGTGATAAGGGCCCAAACTTTCATAAAAATGGAGGCCCCAGGAACTGGCCAATGGGAGAAGGGAACAAAACAGAGGAATGTTTCTTGGTGAGAATGCAGATGAGGCCTAGTATCCCAGTTGGGAAATGGATGAATTTCCCTCTTATAGAACCGTGTAACATTTTGGGGAAAGACATGTCAATTTAGTGATGTCACTGTTTCTTCAGTAACACTGCAAGTTGCCAATAGCACTGGATTCAACAGATTCCTGCTCCAGGCCCAAGGCCCTGATGGAACTGCTCCTTTTGGTACTTTTCAAATCACAGACAGAAACACACAAGGCCTCATGTGTAAAAATATTGAGGTATGTAATATTTATTTCTATAAAAGTCCTTCATTCCTTAGGTTATTCTAGTGGTTATATACAAAAGAAGCAATAATTTTGTTTAAAACATTTGAAAGTATTTCTTTCATTCAGAGGCTGAATTGGATGTTTGAGAACATTTTAATCTTTTTTTTTTCAAATCGCTTTGTTTTGTAAAACCTCACATTTTTAGAGGTTTACTTAAGTTAGCAAATCTTTAAAGAATTTCTAATGCTTGCTTTTCATTAGACAACAACTAATTAAATGATTGCTATATGCTAAGACCTATTAGAGACGATGTGGTACAGTGTATAAATAGCCAGGTCTCTGAGTTAGGAACACCTAACTCAGAGTCCCAGCTCTAATGGATATTAACTATATGCCCCTGGGCAAGTCAGTAGCTGATTGCATCAAGTCCCATAAGTTCACTTATCTCTGTGCAAATGATTCCTAGATCTACATATCTAACCACAGGCTCTTGCTCAGGGAAAGAAATGAGGCTCCAACTGCCTCTTGGACATTAATTAGATATTCTGTAGGTATTTCAAACACAACACATCAAAAACGGAATTCCTTATCTTTCCTACCCTAAAACTCTCCCTCTTTCTAAATTTCTCTTCTAACAGTAAATATACCACTATCCTTTGTACATATGTTCACAACCTTGGAGTGACTTCTCACACATTCCCATTTTGTCTTTTCATTTGTACCTTCATATCTTTCATACCTTCCCCTCTCTCCACCACCACTAACCCGGCATCTACCCTAGTTTGGGCCCTTATCACCTCACACCTCGGCTATTAGAATGCCCTTGGAATTGATCCCTCTGCCTCTAGACTCTTTCTACTCCAAACCACCCACCACTCAACTGATGAAGTGATAATGACCCAACCAGGTCAACCCCTGCTCAGTGAGATCCAGTAGCTCCTTATTTCCTCCAGGATCAAATATAAAGAACCCTGTTTTGACAATTAATATTCTTCATAACCTGGCCCCTTCCAACTTTTCTAATTACACCTTACTACTTTCCAATTACACTAATCTACTTACATTTACTTTCCAATTACACTAACCCTACCTCTGCACTGGCTGCTCCCGTGCCTCGAATGCTCTACCCCCTCACCTCTCCCTCTTAGCTTTCCTGGTATTCTTCAATACTCAGCTCAAATCCTGTATTTTGCAGGAAGTTTTTCCCATGTCCTTCAGTTGCTAATGCCTTCCCCTTTGGGACTGCCTTTATCCAACTCTATATATCTTGAAGGTACCTAGTTATTTACAAGTTGTCTCCCCACCCCACCCCCATTAGAGTGAGATCTCCTGAATCAGTACAGAAATATTTTGTTATTTTTAAGCATTCTCAATTGATCACCAAGTGATCCCAAAGCCCCTATAAATCATTGGAAAAGAAAATAACAGACTTTGAACAAAAAGTTTTTGATTCTAGTACCTTGTTCCATTGATTGATGGACAGAAGTAAATTCTTAAAGTTCAGCAACTTCATCTAATCCTGTGAATATAGGAAACATCTTTTGAAGATATCTATTGCTTTTCTTTGATCTATGCTGACTTTATTTTATTACAGAATTCTTCAGTAAGTCACAGGGACAGCAGCAATAAGCAGTCAGTCCAGACAATTTGGATAGCACCTCCTGAAAGTGGAAATATTCAGTTCAGGTATGTTAAGTTTCTAATATAGCTGCACAAGTAAATTTGATTTCTTCACATGAGTCACTTTAAGAACAATTTGCTGTCATTTTTGAGTACTAAGCAAGCACCCCCTCAAAAAATCAAAGAAACTGTTTCTGCCCCTCAAGAACTTTCAACCTAAGGAAATATTACATACACACATGGAACAATTAGAAACCAATATCTGGTGGCATTTAATTAAGTAGTGTAGATGACAAATGCTAAAAGGAGATTAGCATATTTGAAGAGTCAATAGAATCCTCTAGCTCTGGGGATTGTGGCATGACTCCCCCACCCCCACTCCCCAGGGTTAGTTATAACCAGGATCTAGACAACCTGACACAGTAATAGCTTGTTATCATGGTATTTTTTTTTGTTTGCTCATTCTTCCAACCTAAGTCCTAAGACTTTGGACTTTATATTAAGGCAAGACTCTCTACACTTTTGGATAGAATGGCTGGGTTGTGCTTGTCCTGTATTATGTCTACTTTGCTCCCGCTTTCTTGGGCTATTAAGTTTTGTATTATTCCAGGTTCTCAGAGACAGATCAGGCTGAGGATATGCAAGCTTCCAGGGTATCCAAAGTAGCCTGAACTAGGATGAACTCTAAGTGTTACCCTCCAGGTCTGAGCTCTGTAAGTTTCTGACTTTAGCTTGGGTTTGAGCAACAAAACTTTGGACTTGCCTCTGATTGGAGCTCCAGTAGACCACTATTGGACTCAGTCTACCAACTGGAAAACTCTGCAGGTTGAATGACAGAATGGCAGGTCTCCCTTTAATCTGGGTTTATTGCCCTGGTTATTCGGTTGCAGGCAACAGATTGGGCTTGAAGCTAGATCTAAGACTCAACTTCCTCCTGGGATCAGTTACAGAGCTGCTGTTTGCTTCTGTACTTGTTGTTTACTTAGGACATGACAAAAGCCCTGCAATTGCTCCTTGTCCTGGACCGTGTGCCACCATATCCCTACCAGATGCAGATCCTTTCATCAGTTTTCGCTGGATCTGGGATCCAGCACAGGGTAGTGAATGACAGAGCTTCTAGTTGGCACCTGTTTCTACTCACTGCAAAAGGTCAGGTCCCTCTGTCCTAGATCTGAAGCCTCTTCTTGCCCTCCGATTTAGTTTGGGGCATTCCTTTGTTCATTCCCTGTGCTCCAAAGGCTCCATGTAGTCACTCCTGCTAGACCCCATCCCCAGACATATGTCTCCCTATATGAACCTTGGCTGAGAAAATGATTAAATTTTTTTCAAGGATTTCATAGTCAGGATTTGGTCTGGTCCCTTTTCTAGTTAAGCACTAAGGAAAGATACAGAAAAGTGGCTCTAAGAGATCTGAGGAGGGAAGGATGAATTCTGAAGAGGAATCCAGCAGATTTCATTAAAGAGATAGTACTTAATAGGTAGAGACTACTTAGGGGTGTTTTTTCATCTTGTTTTATTTTTAACTAATATTTTATTTCCCCTCAATTATATGTATAAATAATTTTAATATTTTTTAACATCCAAATTCTATCCCATCCTCCTTCCCCTTCCCCTCCTTGAGACAATAAGTAATCTGATATAGGTTATACATGTGCAATCATGTAAAACATATTTTCATATTAGTCATTTTGTAGAAGAAAACTTGAAAAGAAAGAAAGAGGGAGAGAGGAGAGAGAGACAAAAAGACAGAAAGAGAAAGAGAGAAAGAGAGAGAGAGAGAGGGAGAGAATGCTTCGGTCTATATTCAAACATCAGTTCTTTCTCTAGAGGTGGATAGCATTTTTCATCTTGAGTCCTTTGGGATTGTCTTAGTTCATTGCATTGGTTAAAATAGCTAAGTCATTCACAGTTGTTCATCATACAATACTGCTGTTACTGTATACAATGTTCTCCTGGTGCTGCTCACTTCACTCTGCATCAGTTCACGTAAGTCTGAGTTTTTCTGAAATCATCCTGCTTGTCATTTCTTATACCACAATAATATTTCATTCCAATCATATTTCACAACTTGTTCAGCCATTCCCCAATTGATGGGCATCCCTTCAATTTCTAATTCTTAGCAACCACAAAAAAGAGCTGCTATAAATATTTTTGTACAAATGGATTCTTTTCCCTTTTTTATTTCTTTAGAATACAGACCTAGTAGTGGTATTGCTGGATCAAAGGGAATGCATAGCTCCAAACTACTTTCCAGAATGATTGGATCGGTTCACAACTGTACCAACTGTGCATTAGTGTCTCAGTTTTGCCATATGCCCTCCAACAGTTACCATTTTCCTTTTCTATCATATTATGTGTATCCCAGAGTTGTTTTAATTTGCATTTCTCTAATCAATAGTGATTTAGAGCAAAGTAGAAAATATTTTAACAGAAGTCAAAATAAGTTCTAAGGTTAGGAAATGATATGAACAAATGGTCAGCAGCAGGAAAGGATAGAATGGATTCAGCATAATGGTGAGTTAGCTAGCTTGCCAGGGACATAGAGTAAGTGAGCAAAAGTAGTTTAATAAGGTAAGTCTGGGAAGTTAGGTAAGTAGGCTTTGGGAAGACCACATTGTGTAGAACCCTAATGAGAGAATAAAGGATAAGCAATGGGAACAAACTGAAGATTTTTGAGCAAGAGAGTGATGGGATCAAAACTGTGGGTATCAGGAGAATTATGGGATGTTCAGTGAAGACTAGCACCTCTGTTGTGAGGGCTTGCTGAGCCCTTTTCAGGGCTGCTCATCCATGCCTTTTGTGTTTATCACTCAACTCTCACCTATGGCTCTAAGAAGCTATAGCATGCACGGCAGCCACACCCTGGTAAAACTGTGTTGGCAGAGAGGCTAAATCCAGGTTGAGGGTAACAGGAAGGCATTGAACCCATCACTAAGTTAGAAGAATGTCTACCTTAAACATGTGAAGACTCTCTGGCAGAATAGGTAGATGAGAACGATTTGTTCCATTGGCCCTGGAGTCAACTAAAGCAGGCTCTGTGGAGTACTTAGAGCTTGGTCAGATACCAAAGATGCCAAGGTCATCCACTGCATCCTGGGCCGTCGCCAGTCATCTTGATTTTTGTCCTGCTACTAGACTCTGAAAGAGTGTACATGGGATTTACAGTTTTTTGGTAAATGCCTTGGTAACTTGAGACAATGTTTGGATCCTTGCTAATCTTAGGGGAAAGAATTCCTCCAAATAAGATAGAATGCATTTTACGATTAGCACATGGGGTTACAAGCTTCAAATAAGGTGGATCCTCAGAATTTGGAGGCTCAAATATCCAATTGTAACATTGCCTCCAACAATGCAGATTGTTTTCCACACAATCCTTGCCTTTGTCCTCCCTTGAGTTTACCATAGGGGAGGTCCATTCAGTATGTTAGGGGCCTTTCTCTCTTCTTCTTTGACATATGGCTGTCCATAAGTTGTCTTTTGCCAAATGTCTAACCCATTTTCTTTTTTTTTTTAAATCATATATTTCCTTTACTCTTTATTCCTTGCAGGTTCTTATTTCTAATGCATCACAGTCTGTTCACACCAACCACATTCCTCTCCACTGCTTTTTGTGTAATAATAATTTTTAATAAATTCTGAATTTAATTTTAATTGGAAGTTTCAATGTTCAACTGGTAGCCATACAACACCAATAAAATATTGGTTTCAAAAAGATGAGCCTTTGTTTCAAAGTTCAAAATCTTCTTGAAAAAAATCCAGTGTGCTCTTCTCGGTTTAATTGAACCCAATTTATCTATTTGCAGTCTTTCTAAGATGGATAGATAGATAGATCTAAATAATACATATCATAGAGATCTCCACCCTTTGTCCACCCAAATGATTTGGGGTTCCATATTGCTTGAGGGAAGGAGTTAATGAGGGCAGCAATGTTAGCAATAGTCTGAGTCTCAACATCAGTTGCTAAACAATGACAAACCACCTGTTGCCCTAGACAAATATATTTTAACTAATGAATGTATTACCCCTATAGGATATTGGCCACAAAACCACAGAGGGGACTTTCCCTAGAGCAGAGCCTATGCACTATCCATCTTGGCTCACCTTAAGGTGAACCTGGGCTTATAATATCATTACTATAAATTAATACCCCCCAAGTGGGCTTTTCTGTATATGTTATGGGTAGCCACATGCACAGCTCCAAATTGCCTTAGTAATCAGGCAATCATGGTTTGGACCAGACCCAGGATATTTGTTAGTATTTTCTGCTTTATATAAACTCCATGCTTCACTCCAGTGGGGTGCCTATCTCCCTTAAGGAATAGGGACCACTGGATGCATGACCCCAAATAAATGCTTTTGCTTGATTTGGAGACAGTCTGAGTTTGAATCCTTTCAAGATGATACACGACACATGCGTTTCACCTCATTGTAATATATAAAACATCTGTATCTACATATATAAACTTGTTGAACAACGTTCTTTGTATCTTTCAAGGAATCTTGCATAATTTTGATGTGTGTATTCAAAGGAATGTTGTTGGAATATAACCTTTAAAGTGGCATTTTGTTGTACCAAATCAAATTATTCTTATAGGAAAAAAATTAGCCTAATCCTATCTTCTATTCTTTATATCTTTCAGTAAATAATGTGATTGTAAAAATGAAATCTACAGTAGAAAACACTTTTTAAAGTCCATCTATTTCATACTTTCATCAAAAATATTCTCAAAATATGTATAAATTATTCTTATAAAAATTTCTGTAGATTGGGAAAACAGATATACTCCAGTTAACTTGTTTTTGACGTTCTTTCAGTCACTTTTCTTTGGTATTAGTAAGAACAGATCTTTTTCTGCACCTTTGGTGTGTTTCCCTATGAATCAATCTCTCAATGGAATAATCTCTAGCATGGATCTCTTCTATGTATACTTGGTCTACTCTAGCTGCTTTTCATTCTCTTTACTGCCATTTCTACTTTCTCATAAGCATCTTGCATTCAAGCATAGTGGTTCCACTCTGCTTGATGGTGAAAAGTTTGTTATAAAAACCCTTTGCAATTCTTTTCCATCTTCCTTTTCATTTATCCTCTGTAAATGTCCTCAGAAGGCTTTGTTTAGTATCTTTCACCAAGCTTTATTTAAACTGATTTTTGTCCTCCTTTACTTCTTTCTGTTTGATGAAGTGATGTTGCCCAAAATCTTCCACCATTCTCCATAAGACTTTATAAATGAGTTTATTATCTAAACTCATCTTGTTCTTGGCTGTCATATCTCTACACTTAGCCAGTAAGTCAAGTGTTTCCTAATGAAGGCTTTTTTGGAGGAAATCATTTGGAGCAATTGATATCTCTGTCCTCCTGTCTGTATCTCCTTTTTTAAATAATCAATAACTTGTTTAATTCAGGTTAAAGGCATTTTATTTGCAAGGCACATCTTTTTGTAATTTTTATTTTTCTAGATTTGTACTGATTTTGATCTTTTTCCCTAAATAAGTCAAGAAATGACTATATACATATGATTCAGGAATGAGTCACTTTCTGTTGATCAAAATATCAATTTCTTTTTTTGTTTGGTTATATTTGATGTTTGCCCCATCTGGCTCCTTCAAATTCTTGTTTTGAAGAAAATACTCGTGACATAGAGACCTATAAGTCTTTGGCCTCTCTCCTTTCTTATTTCTGAAACATATTCTCACTATCCTCAACTATTCCCAATTTTGTAGGAAACCATGAATCTATCCCAAGCAAGCAATTATTTGTTAATTAATTGTGCTTATTGTAATATAATTGAAATAGAAAGGTAACTTTCTAGTCTTGGACTACAATAGGATTAAAGAGAAGGGTATAGATGAGAAATTATAGAGTTAACAAGACTTGACAACCATTTGGATATGAGGAATGAGAAAAAAGTAAAAGTAAAGGGTCACTCCAAGGTTTTGAGCCTGGACAGAGGCTGGTAATGCCATTAACAGAAATACAGAAAGAGTATATATCAATTTAATTTGTAGGGTCTTACCAAGTCCTTTGTAGAATCTCTCTACCTTGATGACTCTACAACACTGATGAAGAGACATGATTTCTACCTCTTGGCAAAAAAGTGGTGAACTAACAGTGAAGAATGAGACACATGTTTTCAGATGTAGCCAATGCGTGAATCTGTTTTGAGTGACCATACTTACGTCATATGTGGAAGGGGTTTTTTTTTTTTGGTAGAGGCAAAAGAAAGAAAAGTGTTAATTAAACATTAAAAAATATAAAAAGACAAGAAATTTCAGAAAAGGACATAAGTAGGGCAGTGTTCATACCACTGTGTAAAATTTTATATTATAAAAGTAATTTATAATATTATAATATATAATGTATGTATGATATGAGATTATATGTAATAGTAATTATTTTATTCAAAAAAATCTCTATTTGTTAATTCTCTGAAATAGAGATTGGTGAATAGGTAACAATTATTTTTATGGTGATCTTTTTGCAAATACTTATCACCACCACTAAAATACAAGATGATCTAATAATTGATATAATGTTTCTTGTTGGAAACAAGGTGAAAGGAAAAATAACATGACACAAAAGAAAACTACATTCTGATTAGCTGACAGATTTTTTGAGTTTATTTCTTATAGTTAGGCAGCTAGGGAATCCACTCTTTTCAAAGCAATGGACCCCAAAGTGTTAGTGAATATAAAAATTTGTTTATACAAGTACAGAAGTAAGGAAGATATGTTAGAGGCCAGAAGCAAGCAAGCTTTCTTTAGTGAGGTCAGGATCAGGCAGAGGGGAGGACTCATCTGGCACTTATACCAGGGTCTACAATACTGGCATGTGACACTGAGTAAGAGAATTGTGCAATTAAACTTCCCAGATGGGATAAGGGGTACCTCAGTGACTGCAGGTATGAGAAAGAGTAAAGAGAAACAGCTATATCTGAAAGACAGAGAGCCAGACTCTTGAAACACAACACTTATGAAAACTCAAGTAAAAGACAGAGTGGCTTTGTATATCTAAGTAAATCAATTGTACCAACTTCGCAAACTTGCACAAAATAATAGAGTTCTTCAGCCACTTCTTATTTTTAATACAGGAAAACATATTTGTGCATTACTGGATAGGGAGTGGACTTGTGATTTCACTGGCAATAGGGAATTACCAGCTGAGAACTCCCTCCATGAATTCAGGAAAACACCATCTCTGCAATATACTCCCTGAGTTGCCTGAGCCACTGAGAAGTTAAGTGACTTGCTCAAGATCACAAAACCAATGTGTGTCAGAGATAGGACTCAAACTCAAGTCCTCCTGGTTAACTATTCACAACCCATCATACCACCTCTATTGTCAGCATGTAAAGGCTAAAGCATTACAATAAATGGGAGAGCAAGCAAGGTAGATTTTTAGGATAGGTAAAGAATTCTGTTTCCCACTTTAAACACCCTTCTGAAATTGAACCTAAAATAAATACAAAATGCATGACTAGTCATCTATAAAAGGAACATACCCTAAGAGAGGGAGTGTGTATAAAAATGGAGTATTGAGATGACAAGAGTGTCTCTTGAAGTGTAACTAAGGTAACAGTTAGCCATGGTCTACTCAGCAGTATTATAACATGTCAGCAAGTCAACACACGTTTTATTAAGTGTTTACTATGTGCCAGACAATGTTGCCTATCAGAAAGGTGGTTGTTTGCATGGATTCTGAAATCAAGACAGCTAAAGAGTTTGAATTGGTCAGTGTGTTTTTAGCACTCAGTGGGTCTGTTGTCAATTTGGCTTTCTTTATTGTGACATGGAGACAAGATGAGACAAAAGCCTGGAGGCTGGAGACAATAGAAATGGAAAGAAGGAAACAGATTTGAGTGACTTCAGAGAGACAATCAACCATAGGAAAAACACCTTTAAAGTAATGTTAACAACATGTTACTAGCAAAGTATTGTAATAGGATATTCTATTCCTTTTCCTATTTGGCTTTGATTTCTAGATACCAGTGTATCTCATGACATGTTAAGCCAAATCTTCTCCTTGATATCCTTTTGCTAAGCATCTTGCCTGACGGAGACCAAAGTATTTATAAGCATACTCATTGTCCATTGGCTTCATTTGACCTGTATATAAACTTGAAGTCTTCATTCTACATCTTTCCATAGAGCACTTTAAGAATTTTCTATTTATCCAGTCCAAATAACATTTTGATGTCATTGGAGAAAGACTTCATAAACTGAGGAAGTTGTTTAATGTGTTTTCCAATGGATCCATGACATATGTTTTTTGTTTCAACCAATTTGGAGGTCACATGTAGTTCTACATAGGAGAGATGGCAATGAATTTAAGGCCAGGCAGAACCATAATGGATTTAACCATCTCCCTGAAAAAAAGTCATGTTTTTTATTAGTTGTTCTTAATATGATTGTGTGCTGATATATTTCAAGAAGAGAACAACATTCCATGTGACAGTAAATAGTTTTCTCACTGTTATATGTGTGTGTGTGTATGTGTGTGTGTGTGTGTTTGGTTGGCATGGGAAGAAAAGTTTGCTTTTGACATGTTTAACTGTGGCACAAAACAATTTACACAAATTTCTTACCTCACGTGAAATCTGGCTCTTATTTCCTTGGCAGAGCAACTGTGTTTCAAGATTTGGATGAATCTGGAGTTAGTATTAAAAGCCAAACTCTCCAAACCTTGACAGGATCAATGAAGGTAAATGCATATCTTAAAGCTTCAGATACAATCTAGAACTCTGAGGAAAAAGAAGGAAGAGATTAAGTTGAATCAAGGTTTTCTCCCTTTCTTAGCACACATTTATCCAGAGCACCTACACCTCTTCAGATTTAGACAGTTAACCTGGTGGCCCACCTGTAGGTAGGAGACACCTAGGCATAGTGGGACCTAGCAGACTGGGAGCCAATACCCCAAGGTTTTCTGCCCAATTCTATTTCTGTTGAGGGTACCACCATACTTCCAATAATCCATATTCAGAACCTCGATACCATATTAGACTATCCCTCTCCCACCTCACGACCAATCAGTTGTCAAATCTTATCTATTCTATTTCCATAATGTAGCTCATATTCCCTTCTCTCTATTCTCATGGCCCCAACCCTAGTTCTGGACCATATTGCATCTCACCCAGATAATTGGGATAACCTCCTAATTAGTTTCCACCTCATAGTGGCTCAGTGGTTTCCCCTTGCCTCCAAAATAAAGTACAAAATTTTGTACTTCTTAAAAGCCCTTCAGAACCTGCCTCTAACCTTTCTTTTCCAGCTTCTTGTTACCTTCCATGCACTGTCCATCAAACTGGCCTGGCTGCTATTCCGCTTAGACATTTCTTCTCCCATCACTGTGCCTCTGTTCAAGTTGTCCCTCTAACCAAGAATGTACTACTTCTTGCATCGGCTACAGAGAATCCCTATCTTCCTTCAAAGCTCAAACCAAACCCTATGTCGTGCAAGGAGCCTTTCCTGATATCCCCAGTTGCTAATTCCTTCCCTCCAAAAATAGGTTTTTATGTATTTTGTGTTTAAGTTTCTCTATACATATTTTCCTCCAATAGAATGTAAGTCCTTTGAGAACCGTAACTATTGCTTGTTTTTTCATGATATCCCTAGCATTGCCCAAGTAGATACTTAATAGTAGATACTTAATAAATGCTTATTGAATTGAACTGATTTGAACTGAATTCTGCGACTAACTTTATAACCTTGGAGGCAAATCAGTCAGTCAATAAACATTTTTAAAGTGCCTGCTATGTGCCTGGCAGTGTGCTAAGTGCTGGAGATAGAAAGGCAAAAGATATTCCCTGCTCTCAAAAAGTTCACAATCTAATGGTGATAACATGCAAATAACTATGTTCAAACAAGCTACATACAGGATAAATTGGAAATAATCAAGTCACTTAACTTTTTTAAAATGCAATTTCCTCATCTGTAAAAGAAGGGATTTGACTAGATTATCTTTTAGATCTAACAATCTATTCTAATACCATTTCCTAACAGCCTTCTCACCTTGGGAAATCCCTCCGCCCCTGCAGCCCCTTTCTCTGGTCAATTACTCACAGAAATCTCAATTTAAAGGAAGTTGCCAGCCTAGCCAGTTCACCCTCTCATTTTTCCTCAGGGCTCTATTCCTGACTCTCCAGACTTCTTTCTCTTTCCACCCCTCTCAGATGCCTTTTATGTGTTCTACTGCCCCCCCCCATTAGAACTGAGGTCACATTGAGGGTGACTCTTATTTTTGCTTGTATTTGTATTGCCAGCACTTAGCACGGTGCTTGGTGGCTTAATAAATGCTTGTTAAATGCACTGGGAAGAGGATTGACCCACACCCAAAATGCATAATTTCAGTCATTATTTTATTATTGGAAATTAATCTCTGGGAAATCAGTGTTAGGAAATATCATTCTAAAAACACTATGAATAAAATAGTCCACAAACACATATCAGACACAGCTAAGAAAAAGGAGAACAAACTAAATGTTGTTGACAGTAGAGATTAACAGCTATTGAAAATTCAATTCAACAAATGATCTACTAAGAGAAGACAGAATCCCTGCCTTCATGGAATTTAGTGTACTACTATATATGAGAGGCAAATAACTACAACACAAAATAATACCATTACTTATGTAGGAGAATCAAAGAAGATTGCCTTGTAATTTCCCTGATATGCCATGTCCTGTCACCCCTCTATTCCTTCTTCCAAAGGTCCGCTGTTATCTACTGAATGAAGCATAAATTCTTAATGTTTATACATCCAAAGCCTTCTAGAGTCTAGTTCCAACATGACTATCTACGCTTATCCCTTACTCTCCATCACATGTTTTCTGCTCCAATCAAACTGGACCTTTGTCCACCATTCTTGTCCTTTCCCTTTTCATCTCTGGGTCCCTCCTATCTCAATCTTTCTTTTTGCAAAGACTGCCTTCTATCAGGGCTCTGCAGATTGTTCAATGAAACCTTTCCTAAGCGCTCTCCCCACCAGTGTTTAAAGCTGATCTCTCTGATCTTCTAGCCCTTTGTCTGGACCTTTTCTTTTCCCTTCTTGTTCTCTCTTGTATCCCTGTTATCTTGTATACTTCTCTCTGTCCTACCTAGCCTTGTTAGTTAATTTCCCACGGCAAATGTTCTGAATCTTTTCTTCTTTCCACTTGCCCCTCCCAAATCTATTCATGGCTCTGAAAGCAAGTTCAGGAAGAAGGCCTTTTTTTAAAGATTATTTTTTGGGGGTTTTAGAACAATGATTTAGAAGGAAAGTCTTTTGAAGCAATTCTCTGCCTTCCGTGATCCTACTGTTTTCGTTGTCTCATTCTGTGAGTCTGCCCTGTCTTAGGTTAGAAGTCTGTATTGATGTAACTGTCCCAGCTAACTTAAATTAACTCTTCAAATTGAAAGAACCAGGGTGATACATTTGACACAATAGCATGAGGTTACTCATATCATATTTTGTGGGGGCCTGTATCTCCTGTGATTTCTGTATAGGAAGCAGCTCCAGAAGAAACTCTCTCTACCAGTGCAGTCCTTCGGCTGTTCAATAACTTAAAGTTTTAGAGAATTGCTTAAGGCATTGAAAAGTTAATTGACTTGGTCAGGCTAACAAAGCCTCCATGTCTCATGGTCAAGACTTGAACCCAGCTCAGTTGGAGCCTGGTCTTTAATACACTATGTTGTTTATTGTTGTTTGTTTGTTGTTGTTGTTTAGTCATTTCAGTTGTGTTTGACTCTTTGAGACCCCATTTGGAGTTTTTTTTGGTCGAAGATACTGGAATGGTTTGACATTTCCTTCTCCAGCTAATTTTATACATTAGGAAACTGAGACAAATAGGGTTAAGTGACTTGCTCAGGGTCACATGTAAATGTCAGTAAACAGATTTGAACTCAGGAAGATGTCTTCCTGAATTCAGGCAGGCCTGGCACTCCCTAACTGCCCCATGCTATGCTACCTCTACATATTACATGTATCCAAAATTCTCTGTTTGTCCTACTTATCAATTGTCTTCCCAGCCCTCTTTAAGAAAATTTATAGCTTACAGAACATGATAAAAGGATAATTAATTTAAATATGTATCTTTTTCATTTCAATTAATAAAATATTGATTTTAGATATTCATTAAATTACGTTCATGTAAAATATCTTCATACAACTTTTCATAAGTAAATCTTCCTAAGTAAAAACTCCATCAAATATGTATGGAGTATTTACTATATGTCAAATTCTAAACTAGTGTTATGGGAGAAAGAAAAGAAAAGCAAAAGGCTTTCTTGCTTTCTATATGGGACTGGGGAGGAGGAAGGGAGAGAATGTGAATCTAAAAATAAAATAAAACTGAATTTTAGAAAAATAAAAGAAATACAGGTCACCCAACCTATCTTCAAGAAGTTCATAGTCTAGAGCTTGAAAGATGAGACCTAAAATAGAATTTAGGCAAATATTATACAAATAAATAGGAATATCAAAACATCTGTTACTACTTGTCAGATCAGCAGATTGAACTCCCTCAAACAAAAGCATGAATAACTTAGTGGAAAACTCCTAGCAGTTGCCTAAGGTATATAAAGGCTAAATGACTTGCCCCAGGCAGTGTGTTTGTCCTTCATTCTCGAAGAGGACCATGACATCTGGAAGATGATGACATGACTTGCAATTGACTTTGATTTGAGAGAAGGAGGGCTGTGCAAGGTCACCAGCCTCATTTTCTCCTCCAGAGCCATCTGAGCCCAGTGGACTGATATCCATCTGGATGACTGGAGATGGCCCAGGATGCAATGGAAAACCCCCGCCCTTTTAAGCTAAGGTCTTTCCAGGTTCTCACTTTGAGTGAGGTAATGCCCACTCAGTGAATCAGCTTCTTTGGAAGTGAGTCAAGGGATGGCCCTTTTAATTAAAAAAAAAAATCAAATGGGGTGGGGGGGAAAGACCCTCAGGGTTTGTAGTTGAGATAAAAATATTAAACCCAGGCCTTCCTGACTCTAAATCCAGTCACTAAGCCAAACCACTAGCTTGCACCAGAAAAAATAGCAGCGCCTACAACCTCCTAGACAGTAAGAGCAAAGTAAAAAATAAATAGAAATGTATTTAAGCACACCTAAATTGCATTCACTTTATCAATAAGTTTAACTTTTCTTAGATCCAGATCTATACACACATACATTTAGGTATTATATTGACATTCAACCCCCACCTAACCATTAATTAATAGACTATGAATTATTCGAGAATAGGGACTATTTTTTGCCTTTCCTTGACATATAGTAGGCGCTTAATAAATTCTAGCCGACTTTGTTTGACTTGCCCAAAACTGGATTAGGTAAAATGTCATTATAGATATATTGGTTCTAAAAAAACAAATGGATAGTCAATTTAATATTGTTATAGTGGGAGTTTTTGACTACTCTGGGATTCAATCACATTGCATTAATGTTATTTTGAAACATCATTGTTCAGGGCAACTTTAAGCAAGGTATACCTGTATACTTCTAAATTCAAAAGTGAGATCCAAGTATGTTTATTTGGGGAGCATTTTTCAGTTTTATTTACTCTGTATTTTATAATTTTTTCAGATTTAATTTTATTTGGAAAACTAAATAGTTTTGTTGGAATTTTTTTTTTTCATTTTGCTTACAGACTTTACAATCAATGAATTCCAGTGACTGTGGTAAAAGCAAGTTTTGTTTCAGAAGTCCGGAAAACTGTGACCCTACAGATACAGATTGTCTGTTCATGTCTTCTGAATTGATGGATCATCAAAGTTTCAGATTTGAAATGAGCAGCCTTTCTGACGGTTATGTTTCTATTGGGTTTTCCAGTGATACATTAATGGTAAGTCACATGTCTTTCCTAGAAAGGAAGACACTTTTCAGACAAAAGGTAGGAATCTGACACCAAGCAGGATGGCAGATACTGTGCTTTGACAGTCCTTTGAAACATAGGTGGGATCAAGCAAGATAATAACCAACATTTATACAGCACTTTCAAACTTACAAAATCCTTTATGTGCATAATAATTTCATTTAAGCCTCATAACTACTATGTGAGGTAGATTGGTATCATCCCTAGTTTACAGATGAGGAAACTGAAGCCCAGGGAAGTTACGTGACTTGTTAGCATTTGTAGCCAAGTTTTCATGATTCCAGGTCTGAAACTGTATCCACTATGCATAGAAAGGACTTTATTTCTAAAGTTGTTTCAATTCTGTACTCCTGGGAAAGGGAGTTATTGATTGGTTTTGAGCAGAGGCTCTTAACCTGAGGCCTACAGATCACCACCCTCAAAGGGGTCCTTGGATAGATTTTTAAAATTCCATAAATTTGAATAGGAAAAATACAATTTTATTTCAATATATTTGTTTTCCTTTGTAATCCTATATATTTTATTTTCTTCCATTAAAAACAATTGTTCTGAGAAGAGGTCCATTTTTGATGTTGTTCAGTCATTTTTCAGTCATGTCTAAATCTTTGTGACCCCATTTGGGATTTTCTTAGCAAAGATGCTGGAATGGTTTGCCATTTCCTTCTCCATTTTACAGATGAAGAAACTGAAGCAAACAGGGTTAAGTGACTTACCCAAGGTCACACAGCTAGTAAGTGTTTGAAGCCAGATTTAAACTCAGGAAGATAAGTCTTCCTGACTCCAGGTCTAGAACTCTATCCACTGTGCCATGCAGCTGCCCCTGAAGAGGTCCATAGCCTTTGCCAAAGAGGGCCATGACACAAAATATGTTAAGAACTATTGGTTTAGAGGGTTTGTTCAATCTTGGTTATTTATAGTTTATTTTCTTTTTATACCTTAAGAATCAAATGTTCATGTTTTTTGCTGCCCTTTTTGGGAAATGTTGAATATACAGACATGTGTACACCCACACAGAGTTGATTACAAAAATACTTTTTACTCATCAAAGAAACAGGAGGGAAACAGAAGAAGGGAGGTGGGGAATAAGAGGGTGTAAAGATTAAAGCAGGGTTTAGTCTTAAGCAAAACAATCTCCAGGGATGGAATTCTTTTTTCGATGGCAAAGAATCGCAAACTGAAGGAGTGCCAATAAGTTGGGGAAAGGCTGAACAAGTTGTAGTGCATGGATGTGATAGAATACTATTGTGCTATAAGAAATTAGGAAGGGCTAGTTTCAGAGAAACCTGGAAAGACTTGTATGAACTGATGCAGAGAGAAGAGAGTAGAACCAAGAAAATAATTTATACAGTAACGACATTGTAAAGACAAACAATTTTGAAAGATTTGCGAACTCTTACTAGCAGAATTATAAACCATGATTCCAGAGTACTCGTGATGAAACGTGCTACCGAACACCTGATAGAGAGGTTCTTTTTTAATATAGCCAATGCAAAGATGTGTTTCTCTCAACTCTGCATGCTTATAATATGGTTTTTGCTTTTCTTTCTTTCTCAGTGGGGTAAGGAGGGGAGGGAAGGTTGGAGGGAGAGAAGGAAAGTTTTTTTCTGATTAAAAAATAATTTTATGGGGCAGCTAGGTAGAGCAGTGGATAGAGCACCAACCCTGAAGTCAGGAGGACCTGGGTTCAAATCCAGCCTCAGACCAAACACTTGACACTAGCTGTGTGACCCTGGCCAAGTCACTTAACCCCAATTGCCTAAAAAATAATAATAATAATAATTTTAAAAGTCTATGTAAAAAAATTATTTCTATTTTTAAAAGGAAAGAATGAGAGATCTTTATGTAAGAACTTGATGCTGGGGACTTCAACTTTTTTCCTAAGGATTAGATACTTTTCATTTTCCCTATGATTTGGAGGAGGGGGAGGGTAATGGCAAAGTTAGAGATACCTATGATCCTTTTCCCATTGAAAAGTCAAACTAAAGAAAGTAGCGTAGGGTAGTAGTAGTGTCTTGAAGATCAATAATTTGATCATGACCAATTAATATGAAAGCCCTGTTTTAGTAGATATAATTTCTAAGCATGTTGCATAATGGATCAAGAACTGGCCTTAAAGCCAGGAAGATCAATGTTCAAGTCCTGCCTTTGATACACAATGGCTGAATGACCCTGGGCAAGTCACTTAAACTCTCACTACTTTAAAGCAGCTCTCTAAGTGTATTAGTTTTGGAGACTGTACAAACCTGCATTGGTAGAAGGAGTTTCCTCACCTGGGAATTCCATACATCACAGTTCAGTCAGTCAACAAGCATTTCTCAAGTACTTACTGTGTGCCAAGCACTGTGCTAAGCACTGGAGAATTCAAAGAAAGTCAAAGAACTCATATTCTTATAGCAGTCCAGTCTCTGTTCCTATCCCTAACTATCATTCTATCAGTAGCTTCATAAAAATAGAGCAGATAAATAAACTAAAGTAGGGTTCTAAGAGGAGAATCTGGGTCATGGAATGGTCTGTATTTTCTTGATATAAAATTACCAGATTTTTGTTTGTTTGTTTTATGGGATTCCTTTTTATTTTTTTTCATATTAGTCATTTTGTGCAAGAAAACAAAAGAAGGAAGGAAGGAGAGAAGGGAGGAAGGAAGGAAAGGAGGGAGGAAGGAAGGGAGGAAGGAAGGAAAGAAGGAAGGAAAAATAAATTAGTGTGCTTCAGTTAGTATTCAGATGAAATCACTCTGGAAGTGGATAGTATTTTTCATCATGGGTCCTTTGGGGATTGTCTTTGGATCACTGTATTGCTAAGAATAGCTAAGTCATTCATAGCTGATCATCATACAATATTTCTGTTACTTTGTACAATGTTCTCCTGGTTCTGCTCACTTCACTTTGTATCAGTTCATATAGGACTTTCCATCTTTTTTTCTGAAATCATCTTGCTTGTTATTTCTTGTAGCACAATAATATTCCATTACAATAATATACTACAATTTGTTCAGCCATTCCCCAATTGATGGGCATCCCCTCAAATTTCCAATTCTCAGCCACCACCAAAAGAGCTGTTATAAATATTTCTGTACAAATAGGTTCTTCTCCCCCCACACACCCTTTTTTTAAATCTCTTTGGGATACAGACCTAGTAGTGGTGTTGCTAGATCAAAGGGTATACACAATTTGATAGCCCTTTTAGCGTAGTTCCAAATTGCTGTCCAAAATGGTTGGATCAGTTCACCACTCATGGGATTCCTTTTTAGAAACAAATTTGATAGGTAGTTCTATGGATACATTAAGCCATATCTAGTGTCTTTCATTCAACTGGCCATTAGTTTTTAGTATTTAGGTTTTATGTTCTGTGCTAATCACAAAATTTCTTTGAGTGTTGATGTCTCTTTTCTAGGGGAATGATGATGTTTATATCTGCGTGCTGAATGAGACTGGACAAGTAATAGTACAATATGCCTCAACAACTGGCCGAAGAGCTCCAATTATTAAACCCCTGGTAAAGTTGTTACTCTATACTCCTTAACTCTTCTTATACTTCTTGTTAGATTAAGGATTACAGATAGATCATTGAGCTTTGCAGTGCCTGTGTTAAAAATATTGGTGAAAGTCATTACTGTGTTCCCTTGAATAAAAAAATAAAATGAAACAGTAATTCTTTGTATAAAGAAGAAAATTTAAAATGATAGATACATCTTCTTTTAGTCATCAATGTCTACCAAATCTGTCTCAATCAAATTACCTTTGATTTGAATGATAAGAATGATTGCATGATATTTATTTGGAGATCAAACAGAGATCACTATATAAAGAACTTTGCAAAACTTAAAGCAACATATAAATGTTAAATATTAATAATAATGTTTATATAGTACTTAAAATGTTATCTCATTTTATTCTTATGACAATTTGGTGTTATTACTAATGCATAGCTATGAAGATTTTCATGATGGTCATCATAGATTTACAGCTAAAAGAATCTACAAAGATCATTTAGTCCAACCCCTCTCATTTTCCAAATGAGCCAAGTAAGTCTTTGAGAAGTTCAGTGATTTGCTCAAGGTCAGAGGTGGAATTTGAACCCTAGTTCTCTGACCACAAAAATAGTGCTGACGAATTTGTAGTTATCCAGGTTTGCTGTAATTAGAAGACCCGTATATATTTATGAAATACAGCAGAACAAAGATATTCTGTCCAACAAAGAAATAATTAAGATAGCCCGCTTATATATATATGT